GGTTGCTTTTATTTATAGAGTCCGTATTAAATTTGAATTATTATTATAAAAAAATTAGAATTCTTCTTCGATTCCTTTTGGGTCCACCGCGAAAATTAATTATTAAAGAAATATAAGAATAAAAATAACTAATTTTGTTTACCTTTGAATACGGTTTCAGCGAGGGCGCAATAACGCCACAGTTATAAACGCTTGAAAGAAATATGTGTTGAATCAAATCGATTTTTTGTTAACGCGGTTCTTGCCTAGGTATAAACAAGGTGTATGTCCATTGTATAGTTTTAGATGCGAATGATCTTTTATCTGTTTATTCAACAGCGATTCTCTTTATTTAATTATTCTTAAATTCTAATAAAAATAACATATTATCCCGTATGGAATTTTATTTGTGTTTTTAAAGGGAATTTTATTACAACCTTTTTTCGTTACCATTTAAAATTACATTTCTGAATTCTGGAAATTATTTTATAAAATAATTATACTTTTAAGTTGCTAGACCAAAGTTCATCATCGTAGCCATCCGAGGGACTGCTCCAATAATATATTGAATATGAATAGTATATATTTTACCAAAAAATTTACTTATAAAATCACAATTATTGCAAATTATCGCTCAGATTTTCCAATGAATTTGAAACGAAAAGTCAAACTAAAAGCGATATAAAGAAACAGTGGTACTTATGCATACTTTCTTCACAAATTGTCTGCCCATTTGTTGCTCTATTTTGGCCAGAACAGAAATTGGAATAAATGGAGTAGGCATTAAAACAACCACCCCCTAAGTGATAACACCTTAATATTATTTCACCATGGTGAAAAATATATGTAAACAAATGATTCAAAATTCATAAATTTTTTTCAATTTGACATTATAGGCTGGTTCTTATGAGAGCAATGTTAAATTAAATAACACTTTGTTAAATACATTTTGGTTAGGCATAAGGGTACTTGACATTACAAATTCGCCCTAAAATTTTAGGAGTTACATTTGATAGCTTGTCATCCTTCTCCGCACACACAATAGCAATCGTCAACCAGGTACATAGCCACAATGCTCTCATATCGCTTTTCGAGGGCACTTGCGGCAAAGGATAGGAAATATTGATGGTAACATGCATACACAATGATTAGCTGTTCTTCAATAAACTATGCTGAGCCCTAGTTTGACTAGTTTTCTGTGGTCCCCAGTTACTAAACGGGTGCAGCAGACAAAGATTCATAACTGTCAAGACGCCGCACTTTTAAACTGCGACTGTCCACTCTCGCTGTGTGAATGCCGTCAGCGGAGACCAGCCAGAAAACATTGCAGGAGCAGAAATCGAGTAGCCCCGTGGACTCCGGTAGTAGCAGCAGAACAGTGGATTTAATTTTTTTTTTTAATTTTTTGGTCTCAAAAATCTCAAATATTGTTATTTTTTCACAACAACCTTAACTGGCTAAAAAGTATGTAGTACCATAGCCACAAGCTATCTACAAGCTAGCTACATCAGAAATAATACACCATAACCACAGCTACATATTATAGGCAGTTTAGAGCATTTAGAATATTTTAACTTTTGACAGCTCTTAAATTTACCAAGCAAGAAAATTGCGCAAATTTTTATTTTTATTTTTTCAATTAAAATTTTGTATACATATGTATGTGCGTATATATTTGTACACTTTAGGCCCAGCCACACAGAAAGCGGTCTGTAGCGGCGGGAAACGATATCCGACGGAGGCTGTAAGGCGGTCCTGTTGTATTATTCAGTTTCGCATCATCTCTGTCACACAGAACGCGGTCTACCGTCTCCCGCTAGTCTTTGCCGCAACTATAGATGGACCAAGTTCGTGATTTTCTACGTGTCATGTTTTGTCACGCTTTTTCACGCGTGAGCGTGAGCGGTTTTGAGAGAAAAATCACGTAATTTCCGTGATCGTGCGTGATTGAAATTATTGCTGACGTGAGCGTGCATGAGTTAGATTTCCCGTCAGTCCCGTAATTTTCATATACGTATGTATATTTTTACCCAAAAATTAAGACATTAGTGCGGAAATACAGATTCATTTAACAAATACAGGGAAGAAAAGTTGTGATGTTGCTTTAAAATTTTGAGAGAAAGCTTAAGATGCGCCACTTCTTAGAAGCCTTTCAAGGCAAATTTTAAACATCCCAGCTAGCTCAGCCACTAGTGAAGGAGTCTTTTCTGCGTCAGGCAGAATTTTAGAAGAAAGATGTACACGACTGCTTCGTGAAAACCTCGAACACAAAAATTTCGAGCTTTTTAATTAATTCTAGTTAAATAAAGTGCAAGTTTAAAGCAGCTCCGACTTATCGTTGGTTTTTGGCAATTTTTTTTACGATTTTTTTTTATATGGAAAAAATGAGCAATACCATCAACAAAAAAAAA